TATATAATTAATTAATTTAATTAATTAATTATATTTTTGCTATTCAAATAAACATGGTTAATGGGGCGACTGTGGCTGAGTGGTTAGAGCAGTCGTCCTTCAACGCCAGAGTTGGGGGTTCGACTCCCCTAAGTCACATGCCTAAGTGTCCCTGGGCAAGACACTGAACCCCTCATTGCCTCCGATGTGCGTCCCATCAGTGTATGAATGTGATAAAGCTCTGATTAGTCTCCTTTGAATGATTTGTTCAATTAGCTTTGTAGAGATCTAATAGAGTGCCGTATGAATGTGTAAATGAGGCACAGATTGTAATGTAAAGTGGTTTGAGTGTCTGATAAGATAGAAAGGTGCTATATAAGTACAGTCCCATTTAATATAAAAGTGAGTCAGGATTGTGTACAATAGGCATGTTACCAGCCTAAATATAGAGTATCTGTTTCAATAGGCTCAGAGTGTACAAAATATGTTTTTATGACAAAAGTAAACAGATGAAATGAAGACTATGAATTCCACTGTAAGACTAGTTAAGGCTTTTATAGACAACTAATTTGAAATATTTTAGGATTTATGATTTTGCAAATAAGACATTTATTTTCAGCAGAGAAAATATATACTGACCTGTCAGTGTCTTCTTAAGCTCATCTCTGAACTTTTTCACTGATGTTGAATTTCCCCCATTGGTAACATCTAAGTCCACCCAGCTTAAGCCAAACTGAGGATCCAGCATGGTGGCCAAGAAGTAAACATTGTGGTTAAAAGGTTCCTCTCTTCCACTGTCTTTGGCCATGCTTGTTTTTAAAAAGATTCCAGAAAATCTTTTCACCAGAGACTGCTGGAGGGCTCTGACCAATGACTGGCACTGCATTCGAGTGTCCTCCATCTTGAGGAGGTGTGTATTCAAGTCCAGGACAGTTGGAACCACCATACTAATGGTAACTGATTTCTCCCCTTCTGTCAGGTCTGTTACCTCAGAAAATGGAGCAAGAACTGCACTCAGTTCCTTCAGCTGGTTCCACTCACGGGCACTAAACACCAACTCCTCGTGATCCTTGCTGCACATTTCATTCAGGGCTTTGTGGTCCAGAGCTGTGAAGGCCTGTACTTGTTTAAATATACTGTTCCATCGAGTTGTGTTTGCAGCTGGAATGGTCCTATTAGTGCCAAACGTAGCCTCAAACTTGTCTTTGAATTGTGAACTGCTATGCAATAAGGTGGTGAACCGTGATGTTTTGGCTATTGTGTGAGAAATGGCCTTGACCTCCTTCATGCCGTCATTCACAACTAATTGCAGAGAGTGTGCAAAGCAGGAAAGACGTGCACCAGATGACCAGGGTAATTCGGTGTCTTCCTGAGAATTAATGTCCTCCCACAGGTGCTCGTCATCTAAATGCTCCTCTTCACTCTCGCTGTCATCAGATTGGGGCATGTGTACTTTGAAAGCACATTTCATATTGGCAGCATTGTCTGTTATGATATAGCTAATTTTGTCATGGATACCGTATTCCTCTGTGATCTCCTCAAAGGCAGACGCAATGTGCTCTCCAGTATGTCTGCCTGTGAAACGCCTACAGTCCAGCAGGTAGGATTCAAGTGCATAGGAATCCTTTGATTTGTAGCACACGTGGGCGGTCACCCCAAGGAAGGAGCGTAGCCTGCGATCAGACCAGAGGTCAGTTGTTAATGACACAGATGACTGGGTCTTCAGTTTCTCCAAAACAGTTTCCTTGACCTTGATTACCAACTCTGGAATTTGTCTATCAGAAACCGTTTTTCTAGAGATTGGTGTGTATTTACTATCCATAACTTCAAGAAAGTGTTTAAAATGACTGTTTTCCACAAGTGAGAGAGGCAGACAACACCCAATGATCAAATCTTGGACAATGGCTTGACTGATGGCTTGTTGCCTTGGTGATTGTGGGCTGTAGAGCTGCACTTTCTGCGTAAATAATGAAATTGATGGCTGTGTGACTGTGACATCATTCTGTTGCCCTGCCTTGTATTCCAGGAACCTAAAAAATGCAAAGGAGGAATCAGTATATCTGGTCATGAACATCAATTACATCAAAAGAACACTTAAAAATAAGTAGCAACTTCATAAATGTATGTCAAATATATCCTCCATTGTTTATCATAAGCAAAAATTAAACTTAGAAAAATCTAACAAAGTTAAATTGGGTCCTCTGGATGGGTTTAAACAATAAAAAATTATACAAATGTTTTGTCTTTCATCCAAAAGACTTCTTCAATATGAGGAGCTATATTAAACTCAAGAGCTACATTTTCAGGCCAAGACTCTGCGGTTTACACTCATCTCCAGACCAGCGGTCACTCTTTCAGGGATGAAGATGTTCACATCCTTGATAGAGAGGAACGATGGTTTGAGAGAGGAGTAAAGGAGGCCATCTTTGTGAAAAGAAACCATCCATCTTTAAACAGAGGTGGAGGCCTCCGGGTTCAACTGTCCCCCTCTTACAATGCTGTGATTGCTAGTATCACTCAGCCCCCGGTGAAGGCAAGCAGCCATCAGGGTACTAACAATCCATCATTAGGCTGATGGTCCTCCTTGAACATGTGAGCAGCTAGTTTCATCAACAACAAACGGTTGGTCCACTGTGAGGAGGCACTATTTATAGGGCTGAGCTGAATGCAGCTCCTCAGCCTGAGGAAGTCTTTCGGACGAAAGACGAAATGTTTCTACCTTTTATTTTTACTTTTTTAACACACCCAGAGGACCTGATTTAACTTTTTAAGATTTTTCTACCTGTGTGATTGAGCATGCATCAGGACATATTAAACACAGTTAGCATCTTCTCACAGTGGATCAACCAGTTTGCCAAATATGTTAAGGGAGACCATCAGCCTAACAATGAATCGTTGGCACCCTGATGGTTGCTTGCTATTCACAGGGGGCTGAGTGATACTAACAATATCAGCGATGTAAGAAGAAGACAGTCCCTCTTACAATGAAGTCTTTTGTTAAGAAGTCAAGTAGTCTTTTGGATGAAAGATGAAACGTTTCTACATTTTGTTACCACATGCCCTGTCCCCTCAGTCTCTCAAAGTTAACAGTGAATTTGTCCTTATGCATGCTCAATAACCCAGGTAGAAAAATTTAAAAAAGTTAAATCAGGTCCTCTGGGAGTGTTAAAAGAAAAAAAAAGGTAGAAAAAAGCTGTGCAGATAATATTCTACTTTTTTTCTTTTAACACACACTCAGAGGACCTGATTTAACTGTATGTAAACAGTGAATTTGCTTACTTCCCTTAATATGTTAATTATATCAGTGTTATAAAGTAAAACTCATTTAAGGGCTAAACAAAGCGGGTCTGAGTCTGACACACATTAATTAATTTAGATGTATTTAGATTTAATGTCGATGAATTACTTTTTCAAATTTTTGTCCCTTATTTTAGTATTTGTGATGCATGCTTTGGTATTTGTTGTTGTTATTTTTTTGTTTGTTTTTGGCGAGTCAAGACTGTTTTTCTCGTCCTAAGCAATTCACTGCATTGTTGTCGACCTTGTGTTGATTTTGCATATGACAAATAAACCATACTTGATAAAACGTTCTGTTTGTATTGTTCTTGGAAGAGAGGCAGATTGATAACGTTAACTAGCTAGCTTTACTAGCATCACTTACACAAAGCTGCGGCGCTTACCTTTCTTTGTGCTTCCTTTCCAGGTGTCGATAAAAGTTGGATGTAGTCCCGACAGTCTCCGAAAGTGAAGCGCTGCAGAACTTGCATTGCGCCGTGTGCTTTTTTTTCAGAGTTGTTTTGCAAACATACTCTTTGTGACTCAAATAGCCAAACTTTATAACAGCAGATTTAGAAGACATCTTCTCTTGTTCTAAACACGAACAAGTCTAACTTTTCTTCCCTGACGCTTGCGAGTGAAAGGAGGTGGGCTCGGTGTTGCCAGATAGAGTCGAGATTTTCCAGCAAAAAATCGGTTAAAAACCGCAACATCACACAAAAACCTGCACAATCTATATTTGTTACAGTATATTTACTTTTTGAACACAAACCCACATCAGTACAAGCCAAGGTAATTTAACAATATGTGGCAAAACGGAACAGTCCAACAAAAATCTTCCCAGAGTTCCCAGCAAAATCAGAACGAAAACTGGCCAATTGGCAGTAAACCACCCAATCTGGCAACACTGGAGTGGTAACAAAAACATGTAGCTAGCTGCTATGAGTCACGTTATCGCTTGAATTTGAATCGGTATGTTTTGCATCCAGTAAAAGCAAAGATGTTAACAAATAAACTGGACAATATTCTGGCAATTTAGTGATATTTTCACAGTTGTGGTCTTGACTGGTCTTGAAAAAAAATCCCGAGTCCTCAATGTCCGAGACCGTGACAAGACCGAGACCAAATGCGGTCGAGACCGAGACGAGACCGAGACCGTCAAAAAGTGGTCTCGAGACCGGTCTCGAGACCAAGACCGGTCTCGAGTACTACAACACTAGCAACCAGTAAAACAACGTTTCAACATCGACAAAAGCAGTGATTAAGCAACTAGGAAACAACGTTTCGGTGCGCCACTCACTCTGAATGTCAGATTTGATCATGTTATCGCGTCTGGTAGCATTATCCTAACTGGCGTCACCCCCCTTCGGTCATGGGAGACCGCGAACACAGGTGAGGACGTCGCTCCATGAGCTAAAGTTAGGTTGTCCTTGAGTAGTTTTAACTGTTTGCGCAGCTGAAAGAGGACTTTTAGGTCTGGATTGGAATCCAGATTGACTTTCGATGGAGTGTATTTGTCTGGGTCAGTCAGATACAGTATCATCGATTTAGTTGCAGGATCATCCAACTTCTGAAGTTTGATGATGTCTGGGTCGGTTGAAATTGACTTTTCATATTTTAAGAGAACTTGGCGAAGTTTGTCTCTTTCTTCATCAGATGTCAGAGTGTCGGCTTGAGCGACCACCTTTTCAATCTGTGATGAGACTGATGAGGGTTCTTGCTCCTTGGGGAGCTCCAACGAATCCTTTTTTGAGTCGTCGGACCTGTCTATGGGCAAGGCACCATAGGTTTGTGGTCCGTGGTCGACGTCATTGGTTGAGAAAAGAGCGATGGCCTGTGATGGTTTCGTGAAACATCCTGGCCCAGCTTCTTGACTCGGTACCAGGTTATCTGGGAGTCCTCCCAGAACTGGAATGCCTAGTTCAAAATCATGAAAATCAGGTTCTAAGTTTTCAGTTTGCGATGATTCGTCATCGGTTGTGTGTGTGTTTATCCCCCCTTCGTCCGATGAGGGGTTGTTGGAGGCAGCAACAGCAATGTCTTGGTGTGTTTCACCGACATCTGTAATGTTGTCATTTGCGCATTCAGAGTTAGTAGCGATCGCATCACTACACAGTGCTCCTGGTCGGGTTCCCGTTTCAGCGTGTATCAAAGTGTCTAAAAACCTTTGTATTTCCTCTGTCTCCTCCGAGCTCAGAGGTTTAGGGCCTTGTTCCTGGGACCTTTGTGGTTTTATCGCCTCGGGACGTTTCGTCCGAGGTGGGAGGCGGCTAGGTACGTCTTTTGGGGGTTCCTCTTCGGATTTCCTCTGATAATATGGGTCCTCTCGGTTCCCATATTTTTGCGTCCTGCGCATGTCCCATTTACGATAATCACGTTCGTCCTATGAAGGAGGAGCCTTTTTGTCCCAGCGTGCACCTTCATGATGCGGTTTGTTAGTCTGAAAATACTGCCTTTTTTCTCCTTTTTTAGGAGGAGGTGGCGATGAACGCCTTCCTTCTAATTCTAGGGAGTGGGGTTTAACCTTTACACCAGGAAACACTTCTGTGGGCGTCTTGGCATGAGAACGTGCCTCAAACACATTCACAGCGCACTGTTTAATCTCACTGATGGATTTTTCTCTGAAATTTGCCATCATTTGCACTGACGTTTGTATGTCAGGGTGGAGATTTTTGCTGAAAACAAATTTAAAACCTTCTTCTTCCTCCATCCCGGTTTCGTTTCTGTTACCGAAATAAGCTTGGAAGATTCTTTTGTAATAAACTTTTGGATGTTCAGCTTTACCCTGCGTGACCTTTTCTGCGGCTGGGTATCCAGCTGGTCCTGTGCAGGAGTCGTACTCTTTGATCAAAGCTTCACACAGAAGGTTGTAATCCCTTCTCGTTGCATCAGGTAGACGCTCGATGAAGGTAAACACCTCTCTGTCCGAAGTGAGCCGTATCAGACTGATCTTATCCTCTACCGTAGTATTAGGATAAGATCTCAATCTGAACTCCAGATCTCTGAGGTACGCTTTTGTTCCAGATGAGCCCATCGGTCCAGGAACAAAGCGTTGTACATATTTTGAGATTTTTTGCAAATCATCCATTGAAGGAGTAGATATCAATGGTCTCACCTGCGTGATCGGTTGTGGGGGTGTTACTCTGCCCGTTTGTGTAGGTGTTTGGATGGGTCTAAAAGCACTGGGTGAGTAAAAAGGTCGTTGAGGTTTTGGTGTATTACCCCGACTCTGTTCAGGGTCTGGTTTGGATTCCAGATCACCTTGCCCAACTTCATTACCTTTATATGTTGCTGCTTTTAGTTTCTCCTTACATTTTTTTAAATGTTCCTGGGATGTATAATAGTCACTTTCTAAACGCATGTGTAGCTGTTGTAGATTGTATTTATCTATTTTGCATTGTTCCAGCTCCATTTTTGCGAGCTGCAACTCTCTTTGTAGATGTTCATTGTCTGAGCACGCAGCTTCGTATTGACGGTCTTTTTCACTAATCTTCTCATAAGATTGTGTTTGTAATGACGCCTGCATTTCTGAGAGCTCCCTCTCATGTGTTTTAGACATCCAGACAAGGCGTTCCGACCGTTCATCCAATTCTGCTTTTAGAAGCAGAGAGATTTTTGCTAACCGTTCATGGCTAAGCTTTTTACTCTCTGGCTCTAATGTTCCTGCGGCCAGATTTTTCAGCTCTTCATGTCTTTGAATTTCATCGAGTTGTTGTAATTGCTGTATTTCCTTGCCAATAAGTGGAGTTGTTAAAATATGTAAGGCCCCCAAAATGATATCATCATTTGTTTGGGAGTTTAAAAGATGCTCTTCTTCTTCGTCGCTTGCCATTTTTCTTCTATTTAAAGATTAAATAGGAGAATTTAATGTTTTAGGTTTTGTTTTCAAAATAAATAAAATCAGAAAAGTCTCTTTGTCTGATATATTTACTTTTATTTAGTGATTTATCAATTAAACGTGCACTATCCTTTTAGCAAATGAGTAAACTTTTTCAACTATATGAATATCTGTAACTGCTTCTATTTTTAAAAAGTTAACTTTTATTTTGTACCTTTTATAAAGGGATTACCAGTGAATAAAGTCTCTTTGGTAAATGCTTCTTTGCATAAGTACCTTAATAACTTTTAAAATGCAAGATAACAGTGATTATTCAGCTTTGAGGAACGTTTATTAACTCAAAAATGCCTTTAAAAAAAGAAAATACGTTCAATTTCACTAAAATAACCTAAAAAGCGAAGTGAAACCTGTGTTCTCAAGTTTCTCCAGAAGATGGCAGAACAACCTTATTAATTTTAACTCAGACACTGTTAGTGTTGTCCAGTAGGGGAGCTATAACTTCCTGTGGCGTCCGGTCGTTAGCTGTTAGCTAAAAATTAGCATCGGCTAGACTCGGTTAAAACCAACATTTCTGAACGGATTTTTTACACAAGCGTGGCAAAATTTTAGCAATTAGACTTCGAATAACCTAAACAGCGTTTCAGAACACAGCTTTAAAGCGCTTTTCAGCTTTAAAAAGCAGATTTTATTTCCCTATGAAAACGAGTTTCATTTCCGGGTCACGTGACTGAAATCACCAATGACAGAGCAGCGCAGGGGTGAGAGGAAATGATGTAGACACGTCATTCAACTTCTCAGCGAATCAGAGCGTTCCACAGCAGCAAAATTCCACCAATCACAAAACGTTTCAGCAACTAGCATGATAGATTAGCATGAAATGAGTTCGTCAACTTTTCGTCTTTTAAACTGTCAAAATGCACTTTTTCTGTTAAAAAATGTAACGAATCAACTCTGAGCTGTACGGAGTCTGCTACTCCGGTCTCAAAAACGTCTTTCTAGCTATTTAAAAAAAACTCGTCCGAACCTTTTCAGAACCGAGCCGGACCAACAGAACCTCCGTCCGTTTGGACCACAGTTTAAACAGAATAACGTTTTCCACAGCTCATCAGCTTAGCTACACATAACAGGCGTACAATTTCAGCTTTCACAAGACATATGACACTATTTCAGCTTTCAAAACATCACTAGCCCAACACGCTTAAACATGCAGCGTTTCTTCAAGCGGCGCAGCTTGAGCTGCGTTTTTGCACAGCTGATAAACTGTTTTTCATCATGCCAACATGTAAAAACAATCTTTACACGAATACACAGTCATTTATGGACCGTCACGGGCCACCAAATGTAGTATGACATATGCAGGATATATTCATACTGTTTAAGACCGGTTCTTCATTTTTCTGACTGTGTAAATGTCGTGCGTTGAATTTTACAGAAATGTAACGAGAGACGTTATTTACCTTTGACCCATCAAAATGAATGCGGTCATTTATTTGCAGAATCAAAGTTTAACATCACACATTTACATTAATTTGGCAGAATATGAAAACAATAACATGGCTAGTTTCACAGAAAGTTGGAACAATACGGAGATTGTCCTCACTTCTCAGCAGAACAGCAGACATCAATCACACGGCGGTGATTGAGAACTTTGCTTCAGATATTTCTAAAATATCTGTAATGATTTTAGGAGAAAGGAGAGTTTAAGATGGAAAATGGAGATTTATCTTACAGAGAGATGTGTGAGGGAATTAATCTGTTTGACCAGAAACGTGCACGCTCCTTCAGTTCTCAGCTGTTCACGGTACGCTTGGTCGAAGTAGAACTTTTACCTGGTTGACGATAGGTCAGCGTCGGTATAGAATCCTTCCTTTGACTCTTTCAGCGTCTC